TTGAATTAATTTATTTGAATTAATCTATTTCAGAAAATGAGGTTTGAATTAATCTATTTTGGGAAAGGAGGTTTGGAATTAATCTATAACTAGGCATGAAAGGTGAGGGTGGTTAGAGCATGCTTAAGTATTGCTTTCTTTTGGAGTCTCTTGAGAGTTTTGGGCTATAGACCTAGTGTTTAGAGATTGGGAGAGAACAATCCTCCTCTCGAATAGAGGATCAATTGTATCTTTGCTAGTGTTTGTTTTGCTTTGATTTTATCTAATTTACTGTTTTGGATTGTTTTCATTATCGTCTTGTGTTCTTTCTCGCTGTTTTTATTAATTTATTGTTAGGGTTGCTAGTGAACTAAAGTATTTCCTATCAGGAGTCTTGTTAGACCGGTCCAGCCAGTCCACATGGAATAGAGGCGAAAGAGTCTACCACTTCCTGTAGGCACGATCCGACCAGCGATGCTCACAGAGCCATTTAGGAAGGTTATTGAAGGGAGTTTAGGAGGGAAATTGAATGTAGGGACTGTTTAGAGATTTCCTTTTGAAGTGTATGCATTAAATAGTTTGTTTCCCTAGGGTTAGGGCATCTTGAATTTGGCTAAAATTTGAGATCTCTTAGTTTGTCTTGGGCTAGTGGCGTCTAGAGATTGGGAGAGATCGATCCTCCTCTCGAATTGAGGATCACTTGTATCTTATTTGTTTTTCTTCCGTTAATTAATTTTTGCAATAAAATCTATTGTTTTCCCTGATTTTCATTGAACTTTGGAAAAGTTTTCTCATTGTTTTTCTGAAGATTGATAGGAAATACTTGAGATCTACAAGTGTTTCCTAACAGATAACATGCATGCCACCCCCATTCATGGTTTAAAATTGCGCAATATGAGGCTCGCCTTGAGGCCCGCCTTTGCGCAATTCCAGTAAAAAACGCCTCGATGCTTACGCCTCGAGTTTTTTTATGAGGCCCGCCTGGCCTCACTAGCATTGAGGCATACGCTTCACGCTATATATATTAAAACTTACATAAATCTTGAAGTAAATGCTCGACATTGGACTCTATAGGAGAGGAGGAAGGAGAGAGAGCAGTTCATCATAATGATGATTCAAATGAAGAACCCTTAATGATGACAGTGCTGATGACTTATGACTTATGAGTTCTTATGTGATATGTCATTGCTATTTATTTTTGGAAATTGAAATTATATTTTAATGAAAAGAATATTGAGATTTGGGAAAGATAGAATTTTGAGTTGAACTATATTTCATGTTGTCTTATTATTGGGATATTTTGATTTCACTTCATATCTTATGTTTTTTTTTATGTTTTATATTATTCATTCATTAGTATATAAAAAAATTATCATTTTATGTTTACGCAATCTTTTCATTTTGAGGCTTACGTCTCAAAAAGCCTTGAGGCTTACGCCTCGCCTCACGAATGAAAAACGACTCAATACCTGAATACGCAATTTTAAACATTGCGGCCCCATTAGCTACATGAACAACCTTGGTGATTAATCCTCCCTCAATGCCACATCAATTCACTCTCTCCTACAAAATAGCTTCTTGTCCTCTATCCTCCAGTCACCAGGACTCCTAACGATCACCATCCCATGCTAAGGGCATGTTCCCCGCCATCTTACAATTATATCACTAGGTGAACTGGAGCCAAGAAACTTCAAGTGACAACACATCGAAACCTGAGCTGACACATCCACTTTCTCTGTTGATGACACATTGACACCCTTGCATGGAGTTGTTCCTAATTCCCATTCATTAGCATGTCTGTCTTCCCCAATGCTTCTGCCGATGACAATAATTCGTTAGATCTCCTAGTCTAAAAAAGCATGCTATGCAAGAAATTATTATCTCCAATATTACAACTAGCATTTTTGTAACCACTCTATAAGCTGCTGGAGTGAACCTTAGATCCATTGTTGTGGTTCATAAGGACTTCCCAATTCTTTCAGGAATCATTTCCAATGAATCACTTCTCTAGAAACCCTCTGCACCATCGACTTGTTCCTCCTCAACAATGCAAAAAACTCAAGGTCAATCACCCGCTTCTTCTCCATCCTCTTGGTAACAAGTATTAATTAGAAACTAAGATTCATAATAGGACAACAACAACAACAACAACAACAATAATGATTGGAACACTAAAAATGTGTCTATAATAATCATTTAAATCCTCTATGAATGAAATTTGAAATGAGGGAGAAAATGAGATGACTCATTTTTCATGCTTAATTATAGTTGTCTACATGTTAAAATGATCTGGGAACTCCAATACAATCAACCTCCCCAAGTCGTATTGGACCCATTAAGCCTACCCCTATTTTGATAGCATCATGGACTAACTACTATATGTTGTACCCTATGTTCGTTGAACCATCTCATTGCCTAATATCCTCTAGTCGGCTGCTCCTGCCAACTAACCACTAAACCAACAAGACCAACCCATCTTATCCAGTCAATATTTATGATTGGTGTTATGCCATCAACGCCTCCACCCATCGCCTACCAAGATCACATTACTCTGTCAATTGATGGCTCACTCGAATTGACGCCCTTCACTCTATTCCTCAAAATCAATGACCTCTGACAAAACCCTCAACTCTCGTCAATCAATGCTCATAAAGCATTATCTAACCTATCCATAAAATCACAAACACTGCCAAATCATCATCAAATCAACAAATACTCTTCCATGTAATGTTCAAGCCATCAGATAAGTCATTATATTATATATAGTTACCAATGCCGCCTCGCCCAGCTAATGCACATGTCGTGTGTCCTCTACTAACATGACCTAACACACTTTGAACATCCATTTTGCACCTGACAATAAATCTTCACACCATGATTTATCCCAGGAGACACCACATTTTCCCTTAACAACCAATAAAAACAAGCAAATTTGCTTATAATAAATCGAACTTGAACTCACCAAAGAATCTAACATTAAACTTTTTCTATAAAACACACACACTCTCTCTCTCTCTCATGAGCTTCTAGTCCTACCTTTTAAAAGTAGTAGACATTCTTCTATTACTTAACTACTAATTAATAAAATCTCTTCCCAGGATATAGACTTCAAAATCAAACCACTTAAAATCCTTTGTTCACTTATGCTCTCTCTCCCCCTCTCTAACCACGCTCACCCTAACAAGAAGTAACTTAATCCAATAGCTCATCTCTCTCTTGGTGAACGTCCTTGTCCAATGTTATTTTTGTTTTTTCAACTTTTTTAAGTTGCGCTTTATCCTTGTCCAATGTTAACATCAATATTATGAAAGGATATTATAAGCCACATACTGTAACAACCTTTTTACTTCATATGTGTTAAAACTACTAATCATATACTTGATCATTCTTTACCATTTCTAGCTCTCTGATCTTCTTAATATTACCTCAACCTATCAAACATAACAGTTTTTGTTTAATGGCTACATGCTAAAAGGCGTGAAAGCCTTCACGCGCGCAGGTGGGGGTGGGGTTCGAACCACGCTGAAGGCAAGTCCACGCGGGCTGGGGCGGAGCTAGTTCCACACGGGCTCGTTGGTCGGGCTATGCTCTGGCTGGGGCGGTTGGGTTGCTTTGGTATTGTTTTATTTATTTATTTTAATTTTTCTTGACATTCCGACGCAAAAAAATCCGCCCGAAATATTTTTGCAGCGGAAAATCCGCCGGAAATGTTTCCGGATTTTGCGTCAGAAGGCCTTTTCCGACGCGCGTTGAACCGGCGAAAATATTTCCGCCGGAAATGCAATTTTCTGACGGATTTTGGCCATTTTCCGACGAATTTTGTCTGCCGGTAACACGCGATTTTCCTGTAGTGATACTAAAACCATCCATTATAAAGGGAACTCATTAGAGTTGTGCAACAATAACTCCTACTATTCTTTTTATCATGCCTCCACCAAATTAAAACAAAAAGGAATACAAAACTCCTAATTGAAAAAGAAAGGTCAATTATTAAATACCCCCATGTAATATTTGTGGTAGGCACATGACCCCTAGGCCCTACATACCTTCAAAACAATATTTTCATACCCAAATTTGAGAGATAAATCAATATTTACATGGAGATTAGGACTGTATTTTAAGTAACATAAGGGGTAATGTGTTCATTTCAAATATTAAATAAGGGTTATGTATTTGTTCATCTATATGCAATTGTGCACCTGAATGCATGAGATAAACAGATGCTTAGAGTACCTATTCATATGTCAGTTATTACAAGAAAAGACATATAGCAGCATGCTTTGTTCAACAGCTGGTAAATATTTCATCATTGATCACGTGAAATTGCGTTGCTAATGTATCAGATGCATTTTACAGTTTTAAGTAACCACGACAGTATCATTAAAGCCAACATGCCAATCTTAGGCAAAACAACGAGGATGGTTGAGTTCATCAGATTGTTGCCCTTTCACATATTGTGACGGCAGGATTTATAAGCTAACTTCAATAATTAATGTGATAGAAAATCTTCACCACAACTAAAGAGTATAGCAATTTCATTATTTACCAGCTGCCACCTCAGCATCATGAAATTGCAAATAAAAAGGGGCTAACATTAAGTTCAAAAGGTTGTAGAGATGTCTTAAAACATAATGTATAGTAAAATTACATTAATTTCACTAATTATCATTAGTAAAAAGAATGAGCTTTTTTTTTTGTGAGGCTTCAAACCCATGGCTCCTTAAGGGAGACTGTAATAATCAACTGTCCTAACATCAATATTCAAAATGAAGTTCTATTTAGCCTGGATGAGCAAAATAGGGTAATAACAAAAAAAATGATAGAACTACTTAAAAGTTAACCATTATCGGTTTATGTCAATAATAACCTTTTCCACCTAAAATTGTAACCTGACCAAAACCTAAATAGGCATTGCAATGGTAGCAAAGTGCTCCACTCAACATAAAAAAAATTGCTCCACTCAACATGGAGTGGTTATGAAGTTTAAACACAGGAAATTACTTAAAACAAGTATGACTGACATGATTAGTCCTTGCAGCGGCTCCATTCTCGACAGAAGTTGCTGTAGCTGTTTCAGGTACAGCGTTATCCAAGTCTGTGTGGCTTGTGTCCGTTGAAGCATTTATTTCATCTTCAATCAACTGAATTACAGCATTCAGAGTTTTCAATTTGACGAAAAAGTAACGCCTCAAAGTAATAAAACAAATCATGCAAATTCAAGTTACTTACTGATGCAGATTCTACAAAGACAATTCCGTGAAGATTTAGCCTAATCTTGACTTTCAATTTAGTTTTATCACCTTGAGAAGCTTCGAAAGGACCAATCTGCATAGTCAGCAACAAAGTTCGATAAATGCTGACACTTTAAAGCAAAACAAAATTTAACGTAACCTAAAAAAAGAAAAAAGAAACAAGACTGGCATCTAATTGAAGAGAATAGGTTGGACAAAGATTTGTCTATCCTTAAGCGTTAAGTATAACCAAATATGCCGAACTTGTAAGATTTGTTTTTTTAAATAAAATAAAATCATCCATAACAGAACAAGGGTGTTCTTCAACCTTAAACAAAACTAGAATCTTCTTCACCTGGCAATTAAATTTGTTTATCAGATGATTGACATGAAATCTAAAGCATTTTGCCCATTTAGGATTCTCATATATTCAATCCTTTGTTGGATTCAAATTTGTTTGTTCGCTCAATAAAAATGGCTTTTTGGCACGAACCCTGTTTTTTAGGCTTGAAGTTCCATTTTCCTTAAGCTAGATTGATTTTTAATTAATCAAATTTCCCCCGATGATTGCATCAAGGTTTATTTAAGTCTAGGTTCTTGCTTTTTATGAGCACAAACCTATGTTGCACTGATACTCCTATTTGTGAAGGTGTGTTGTACCCGATACACCGATACACAGATACACCTCCGATACGCCACCGATACATGTTGGATATGCCAAAGCCGTATCCAATTAAAATACTATTTAATTTCAAAAGGACATGCATATCAGATACGCGTGTCCGTTGAAAAACAAAAGGAAATTAAAAAAAAAAAGATGCATTGTATTTACTTCCGCGACTGTGAGCAAGGTTCTCTCATTTCCGAGATGGATTTGAGTCTCTTGATGATATGGGAATATTAGAATTTACTAATCTTTCACTTGATGAGCCAAAATTAGAAGCTATGATATTTTTGAAGATGATATAGAAGTTCAAAGACAAACCACTGAAGAAGCTAATCATATCATTCCTATTATATAGTTGAAACTTCATGTGCTAGACAATTTATGTTTATGCTTTTGTTGTTGTACTAGACATTTAATACTTATATTTTGATATGATAAACTACAAGTCTACAAATGATGTTGTTGTTATTTTTTTTTGTAATTTCAAATATTATGCTTTGATTGTTTTCTTAATTTTTATGTATGATTTATAAACTATAATGTCGTGTCAGCGCCGTACCCGTATCTTATATTTTTAAGAATTGACGTGTCTCGTATCCGTATCGTGTCGCCGTATTCGTATCGATGCAACATAGGCATGCAAGCCCTCATATTTAATTACCTCTCTCACTTCTAGAAAGAGCACTCTCGATTAAGAATGAATCACTTAGCATAGCTTTGGGATTTTAGGTCGTTTTAGTCTCGTTTGTGGGGAATGGAGGTATATCCGATCAAGATACCATGGATTCATCATCTAGGGAATACTGTAGGTTTCAGTCTATCAATGCTAACAAATCGTTGGTTACAGCATACATGGAATATGATTAGCAGCCATAGCTTGACTCCTCTAAGGGATCTTGAATAAACGGAGATGGTTAGAAGTTTGTTTTGGTTTTATGGTGATTTAGGTTTGGGGCTTATATCTGTTAGAATGGTCATTAGTTTATTTAGTTTGGGGCTTATGCCTCCTCTTAGGAGTAACCAAGTAGTTTTGATTAATGATGATTCTTATGGCTTCGCTTAAGAGTTACCTGTTGACATGATTTAGGATGGGGTTTATGGCTCTGGTTAGGAGTTGCCCAGTAGTATTGATTTAGAATGGGACTTACGGTTCTATTTAGGAGTTGCCCATTGATTTGATTTATGATAGGACTTATTGTTACCCTTTAGGAGTTACATGTTGATTGTTTAAGATAGGACATATTGCTCTCCTTTAAGAATTGTCTGTTTGTGGGTCTTCCAACTTAGCCCTATAAGCGAGTTTGTTAGATTGACAGTTTATTTGAGTCTTTGTTCTTGTTGTACATGTTTGTATGTTATATTTGATGTAGTTGGATTGTTGCATTTAGTTTAGACTATTGTATTTAGTTTGGATTGGTGTATTAAGTATTTTAGTGTAAGCAGTCTCCCAACGCCTCCTACCCATGAATGGAGGTTGGAAAGGCACTTGCCTTTTAATCCGTCAAGCCGGATCAAAGATTCGACGGTCGAGGGCTTCGAGATGATGATTGGTCCAAGTACAAATCTTCAATTTTCAAATTTGTGCTATTTGCTTATTTTATTTCTCCCCTTTTTTCTCTCTTCTTTTTTGTATACAAACATCCCTTTGATATATTCTTATACTCATGGGTAGTGGACAGAAGCTAGGCAGACGAGATGGTGGACGGTTTAGTCATAGTAGGAGATGAGGCGGACACTAACGGGGCCACAAGTCAGGTGTGTGTCATAGACGAACAAGCCATAAGCGAGCAATGGGAGCGGAAGTGTGGGACACAGGCATACCGCACGGGTCATGGGTGGGCCAAAGCATGCTAATATGCGGGAGCCCAGGGCGAAGGTAGAAGCATGAGTCAAGACCGCGCATGGGCGTGCTGGTTGGTCGTGCGCAACAAGTGGAATCGGTATCGGAGACCTTCCGCGATCATGTAGAGAGACCATGCGGGGTCGGTCGTTGGTTACACGAGAGCTAGAGTCGCGGAAGGATACAGGGTCGGAACTGGACCGACGGAATTGAAAATTGAGGGTGCCTGCATCAACCGACCACTTCTTCCGTCTTTTCTTTTGTTTTGTAAAACTGAAAGATATTATCCTTTCGCAAAACGAGATGTCTCGCAAGATTATTTTTTTCAACATGCTAGGTCCTTATAATTTTATTTAAAAGGATAAATACCCTAAACATTCACAAAATAGGCATGCACATCTTTTGACCAGGTGAATATCTCCATATAGGCAAATCTTATTTTTGCTCCCCCTAAACTATATCACTCCTACCCTCGATAGTCATCCTCCAAGATTCTAAGCACAACCAGTCCCATCCAAATGCCATCACTATCATCACCTCTATGCCAATTACAATGCCATTGCCACACAAACTACCCCTATCTCTTCCTACAAAAATTTGTCACATCAAACTCTCTCTCAAAACTTCTACAAAGCCTCCAATTCCAGCAAAGACATGTGGCAATATACATAATGGGGAAATGGTTTCAAATCAAGAAAAGACAATAGCTGAAGAGTAGTAATGGGCTCCTTGACAGTAGTAAAATGGGTTCCTTGCTTAAGGCAAGCAGTCCGTCATCTTCAATAGGAGAAGAAACTGTACTACAATAGAAGCGCATAATGAAGCAAAAATAATACTTCGATGCAACCATCAATCATAGCTTGAGCAGACAATGGCAACCACGGAGAAAAGAGACGGCCAAGTGCAAATGGGTGATACAACTACAGCAGAGGAATCAGTACCGTGACCGTGAGGAATCATGTGGCTGTCAAGATCAAGAAGGAGATCTGCATGGGCTTCGAGGGCGGAGGATTGTTTGAAGAGACAGAAAGATGCAGAAGGGCTGATTGGATTACAGCGGCCATCACCAGTAGTGCTATAGCATTGATATCATTGGACAGGCAGAAAAAAAAATTTTTCTGACATAAAAAACAGCTATATAAATATTTAGTTGACAGCCCACTGATCCAAAAAGTAGACACAGTTGAAGCTACTAGGTTACGAAAGTAAAAGATGGAGAAGCCTAGGGCCTCCATTTGATCTAGAGATCAGATCAAAAAGATAATTATTCAGAACGTCCATGATTATTATTTGGGCAATTGGTCAAGATGATTAACCAAATCTGCAAATGAAGACTAACATTGGGGTGATTTCCACATCTTACTGTTAAGACCAAAGATTAGGTCGTCAAGAGCCTAAGGATGAGGATAGATCATCAATCAAATACTTGATGATCAAAATAAAAATCCATGAAATCTGGATTTTTTAAGGAAAATCAAGGGGAAATAGCAATTCTTGAGGGTGGTCAATCCAAATGGCCTCATTTGGCCGAACCATTGCCAATAGGATTTAATTTGAATTATTTCAAATAAGGATTTTTTTTTAGAAATTCGTTTAGGTTGGATAGGCTTTTGCTTGATTTACGAATTAGTTTAGGATGTGATAAGCTAGAATTTAAAATCAATTAAAGCTGTAATAGCTTGTTTGATATATGAATTCCTAAAATAGAAATCAATATGAATTCTACTAAATACTTTCTATCTTCTTCACTCCTCTTCAGACTATCATTGGCCTCCCCTGGCCAATGAGTCTACAAGTGAGGATAGATCACGTCGTCAAGAGTCTGCAAGTCATGATGGTCATCAATAAAACACTTGTTGATTAAAATAGAGATCAAGTCGTCAATAATCTACGGGTGAGTATAGATCTTCAATCAAACAATAGATGATCAAAATAAGAATACAAGAAATCTTGATTGTTCAATCAAAATCAAGAGGACAACAACAATTATTGAGGTTGATCAATCCAAATGACCTCATTTGGCCAAACCATTGTCAATAGGATTTAATTTAAATTATTTCAAATAAGGATTGTTTGTTTTGAGGAATTCGTTTAGGTAGGATAGACTTTTGCTGTATTATGATAAGCTAGAATTTAAAATTAATTCCTGCTATATTTCTTTGTTTAACGTATGAATTCCTAAAATAGAAAACGATATGAATTCAACTAATATTTTCTATCTTCTTCTCTCCTCTTCATAATATCATCATTGGCCTCCCCTGTCTGTCAAAACTATCGACCACAGGGCTTAGAAGGCCGCCAACTTAGCAACCTCCCGCACAAGCTAAAAAATTTTTTTGTTGCTTTATTGGCTCCCTCTTGAGGATGACAAAGTCATTGGACTCACTACCCCTAACTTGAACATACAAATAAGGCAAATAAGGAACTTGTTAATTGTGCGCAAAAGATAAGAGAAGAAATCAACAATATGCAAGCTGTCTAACAAAAAATAATAATCTATAAATAGAAGGGACTTGTTTGTATCAAATAGTCATAAATTGAGACAAAATAGTTTACAACAATAACACTCATATTTTAATTCATAGAT